GTCGCCGGCGTCGGTCCCCGGAGCTTGGGTGCACCGCCCGCCCGAGGCGCCGGGGACCCGTGTCGCCCCGGGGGGGAGGGGCGCGGGGAGAACCCGCGCTTCTCCCGCTATCCGCGGGGCGGCGAGTACTCGCTCGCACAAGTGGGAGGAGGCAAGTGCAAAGGCCCGGGGCGCCGCGGCAGTGTTCCTCCCGGGCCGGCCAGGCGGGATCCTTGGAAAAGGCATCCCTGGGCCACCCTTGCTCTGTGTCATCCAGGGCCGGCCTGCGGCACCGCTCCGGACATCTCAGGATGAGCCCGGAAGAGGGCCACCAAGAGGGGACGCAGTTCACTGGCTGCTCTCGTTTTTGTTTTTGTTTTTTCCGTAGTGGTTAGGGGCCCCAAGCTTTAACAGACCATTTTTAATACAAAGAAACCTGTTGCTTCAGTTCAGAAAAACCCTGCTGCCTGGGCCGGTGTGGGGCTCTTGGCACCCTACTCTCGGGAGTTGATACCTAAAGCAGAGATTTCCAAAGGAGTTGTCTTTCCATTTTTACAGTGTTTGCAGTTACCGCAGAGGGAGTTGCAAAATTCTGATAATTTCAGCTCACTTGGTTTTTGTTTTTTTTCAATTGGGGCCTTGTTAGTGATAAAGCTTTCTTGTGTGCGCTGTGTGCTTCACGTGTATTGTGTTTCGGAGAGATTGGAACTGTAAGGGCCAGTGAGAAGTTCCCTCCTTTGCAAAATGATCCTTGCTTTTGGCCCTGCATATCAGACCCAGTTTGGTGATGGTTTTGGTTTTAGAGCCTTGAAAGAGGATGTGTAGTGTATACATCTGGCACTGGAGTTTTACTGTCCTAAATAGAATGAGGCTTTGTGCTCTAAGGCAATAGGTTTTTTGAGGTAAGATAAAAATAGGTAGGGAACCAGTTTCTGAGGTTGCAACCAGGAGGTTAGAGAACAGAGAGGGGGTGGTACACTCAAGTGTGAAGAAGGGGGTGGACAGGTGAGAGACGTGGAAGGACAGAATAGGGTCACACAGAGATGTGGAGCAGAAGAATTGAGGGAATTTGGAAATAGGAAAATATTCTTCCCTTAAAAATAGAGAGGCCTCCATATTTAAAGGATTTACCAGGCAAGTGCCAAGTGCCGGTGATGGTAGCATGGGAGAGAAGTAATTGTGGGACTTAGAGACAGGGTCTCCCTGTGTACCCCCTGGCTAGCCTGTAACTCGCTTGTGTTGACTAGGCTAGCCTGGAACTCAGAGATCCACCTGCCTCTGTCTTTCAAATGCTGAGATTAAAGGTGTGTACCTCCATGCCTTGCTAGAACTTCAGTTTTCTTGAAGGTTTTCCTCCCTTGAAAATTCAAATTGACCTTATCTCAAACACTGCCCTTCCCCTCCCACATTTCTTGAGTATAGCCCTTACTGGTTTGGAATTGGAAATGCAACCTCAGGTAGCCTTGAACTCACCCTCCCAAATGATAGGAATACAGATATTGGGCTCATTTTTATTGACGTTCAGAGACTTCAAATGAATGAGGTCTTTGAATTTTTGCCCAGTGCCTCTCATACAAAGATACTTCTGGGGCCATTAATTTGAAGACTTTACCTGATATTTCAGTTATTCATCCAGTCTGGTTTAGTGACAACATGGTTAAATGTTTCACTGAGTAGATTATACTGAATAATTTCTGAAATAGATCTGGGGGGAGTTTCTTATCAGTTTAGCCTTTTTCCTACCATTCCTGTGCTTCAGATTCTTCAGTTGAGATGCAGATTGTGGGCTGAAATAATAATCCAAGCCACCACCTCTTAACTGTATCTGTAGTGTACTAAGTGCCTTATGTTCATAGTCTTACTTGATTCTTGTTAAAAACCTTGTGAGACTGACATACTGTGAACTTTCCTATTTTGTAGGGGGAAATATTTGAGACTTGGGAGTATTTGGTGTATTTTTTACACTGGCTTTATAACTTAATTTTTGTTGTGTTTTTGTTTTTTTCCTTTTGAGACAGGGTCTCTGTTGCCCTGGCTGGCCCAGAACTGTAGACCAGGATTGAACTCACAGAGATCCACCACACCCATCTATAATTTTAAGGCCAGCCTGGTCTACAACATAGTGAGTACCAAGCCAACCAGGGATACCACATAGTAAGACCCTGTCTCACATAAGAAGATCAAAATCAATTTTTTTTTTTTTTTGCTTGTTCAAGACAGGGTTTCTCTGTATAGCTGGCTGTCTTGGAACTTGGTCTATAGACCAGGCTGGCCTTGAACTCAGAGATCTGCCTGCCTCTGTCTCCCGAGCTACTGAGCTATCTAGCTATCCCTAAAAATATTTTTTAAATTACATATTCCAAACATATAAAAACTTAAGCAAGGTAGCATAGTAATGGTTATACTTACTGCAAGTTTATTTTTCATCTCCATATTTGTTGGATTTTTTTGTTACTGATTAAAAAACAAACAAAACTCTTGGTATGGTTCCCATAGTTCTAGGACTTGGGAGGCAAAGGAAAAAAGGAGAATCAGGAATTCAGGTCATCCTTTGCTACATCCTTGGCAAGTTTCAGGATAGCCTGGGCTACATGAGACCTTATCTCAAAAACAAAACAAAACAAAAAATAACAAAGTCTGATCCATGTCTCCTTGCCATTCTTGTTTCCATGCTACTACCAGAAAGTTGTGCTCTCCTGAATTTGGTGGTTTTTATTGTTGTGAATATTTATATTCATAGAAACTTTTCTTTAACAGATAATTGCAGTGGGGAAAAGGTAGGAAATCTTTAAAAGACAGATCAGCCTGTTGCAGTTTTAGGCCTGATTTAGATGCTGCTTGGTTTGCTTTTCCTTAAGCCTGAAAAATATGAATAAGATAATTAGAAATTTGAACAAGAGTTTAAAGTTTTTATTAATTTATGTGTATAGATTTTTACCTGTATATCTGTCTGTGCACCGTGTATGTCTGGTGCCTGCAGAGATTAGAAGAGGATATAGGATCCCTTGGAACCAGAGTTATAGACAATTGTGGGTGCTGGGAATGGTACCCAGGTCCCTAGAAAAGCAGTCAGTGCTTTTAACCATTGAGCCACTTCTCCAGTCCCTGAGCAGGATATTTTAGGATACAGGATTCTTATTTATAAATAAAATGATGTAACGCCTGAGCTTTGTTTCAAAATAACCCAGTAAAGGAGAGAAATGAATGGAGTGGGAGATCAGCAATGGGTTGGTGGTGGTTTGGGTGCTGAGTGGTGACTATGGAGGTCCATTATGTTACAAGTTTTTGTTGTTGTTGTGTTTTGATTTGTTTTGAGACAGGGTCTCTATGTATCCCTGGCTGTCCTGGAATTCTCCATGTAGACCAGGCTGGCCTCAAATTCAAAGAGATCCATCATCCTGTCTCTGCCTCCCAAGTGCTGGGATTAAAGGCATGCACCACCATGCCAGGCCTACTTACTTGTCTGTCTCTCTGTTTGTATGTATATAATATTGTTTGGATGCTTTTGCCTTTTGGGACATGAGATAAGCTCAAAAGAGTCAGTTTTGAGTCTTTGGATGATGGGTGACATCTGGGAGATCAAGGGCAGCTTCTGATGCATTTTAAGGTAGTTTAAATTGTTTTTCCAAGTAATAAAAACCTGTCTTCAATATCTACATATTCTAATAGTTTATTAGCAAGCATACTAAATTTAGAAGGCTTAGGTTTGGATTCTAATTTTTCCATTTGCTGACTGACCCTAGAGGCAAGTCTGTCACAAAAGAGAGGAAAAGATTGCCTTTGCAGTTAGTCTTTGGTTTGAATTCTTTTCCTAGCATTGTTATCTAGGGATACACTAGATTCACTGTGAAAACGTATTGAACACTGCATTTGGCCAAGCAAGTGCTTGAACTATATATTTTTTGGAGTGATTGGGTTGAGGGGGCAGTGGTCCAGAAAGGGCTTCTAAGAAATGAAGTTGTGAACTGGGTGGCAATGCAGTGCATACCTTTAATTCCAGCACTCGGGTCTACAAATCAAGTTCCAGAACAGCCAGAGCTACACAAGGAAACCCTGTCTCAAAAAAAAAAAAAAAAAAAAAAAAGTTGCTTGAGCTCAGTGTCTGTGACATGTTTAATAATGTGAAATTGTTGTTTTTTGGGGTGATGATGGTGATAATCCTTGCTGTGTAGCCCATTCTGGTTTCCAAGTAGGGAGATTATAGTGTGCACTACTGCAGCTAGCACAAGTTTCTTCCTTTTTTTCCTTTTTGATTTTTGAGACATGGTTTCTTTGTGTAACAGCCATACTGTCCTGGAACTCACTCTGTAGACCAGGCTGGCCTTGAACTCACAGAGATCCACCTGGCTCTGCCTCTCAAGTGTTGGGATCAAAGGTGTGCGCCACCACTGCCCAAGGCACAAGGTTTCTCAAACTTAAAAAACAATACTTTCACTTTTCTAAAAGTAAGCACTGTTACTGCTGTCAAAAAAGATGATTTTAATCTATAAAATAGCTTAGTCAGTGGGCCAAAAATTACTTTCTTTTCTTTTTTTGATACAGGATATGTTTTGAGGCTGTAGCTTTGGCTTGCTCACTATGTTGATCATGCTGACCTTGAATTCAGAGTTTGCCTGCTTCTCTGCTAGGATTAAAGGCATGCACCACCATGCTTGGCCCATCACTCTGAGATAACTAGATCCTTTCTAGTTATAAAATGCTGTATTTTCTCCCCTTTTCTCTTTAGTGCTTTATTGTCCATACCATTTTATATTATCTCATATTAGAACTTAATTTTTGGTGTTCTTGCTAATAAGATTATATGTTGCCAGGCATGATGGTGAATGCACACCTTTAATCCCAGCACTGGGGATGCAGAGGCAGGTGGATCTCTGAGTTTTGAGGTCAGCCTGGTCTACAGAGTGAGTTCCAGGCGAGCCAGGACTACACAGAGAAATCCTGTCTTGAAAAACAAAACAAAAAACAAACCAACAAAAAACCAAGCAAAATTAATGTTCTGGGAGGTTAGGAATCATATATTTATTTCTTAAAAATCATAGAGACATACTATGTAGTTCAGAAAATTATTGCTGAAGGGATACATGAATTAAAGCTGAAAGTGAGGGTCTGATATAGAGGGCAGTAAAATGAAGGAAATTTCACTGTAAAAAGCTAGAAAGGAACCAGGGTAGAGGTAATTCCTTTAATCCTAGCACTTGGGGGTGGAGGGAGGAGGATCAGTTCAAGGCCATCATCCTCCACTACATAGTGATTTGGATGCCAGCCTGAACTATCTGAGACTCTCAGAAAACAAGCACTTGCCTAGTATCAGCAAAGCCTTCTTCTGGATCCCCAGTATCACTTAAAGTAGGTGTGGTGGTGTGTGCCTCTAATCTCAGCCCCCTTATGTATGCTAAGCAAGCACTAAACTATTCAGCCATATCCCTTACTCCCACACTAGGTTTCAGTTATACAAGTAAACATTCAAGTAGAAAAAGAATAGAACAATGTTGATGCTTGACCCTGTGGTTGGTAATAATAATTCTTGTGTTTATATCTTTGTTGACTTTTTTGTTTTGTTTTGTTTTTTGTTTTTGCTTTTTCAAGACAGGGTTTCTTTGTGTAATGGTCCTGACTGTCCTGGAACTCGCTCTGTAGACTAGGCTGGCCTCGAACTCACAGAGATCCACCTGCCTCTACCTCCCGAGTTCTGGAACCACCACCACCAACAACTTTTCTTTGTATTTTATATATATTAAAAATGAGGAAGGGAGTTGGTTGGGTTTTGGTATGGTTATAATTTTTAGAATATGGTAGTGTCTTTTGACATGGCCTAGTCCTCCTTCTCCAACCCTTTTCCATTTTACAAGGAAACAAATCCAAATGGTTAAGTGACTGAATGGATAGGGCTTGTTAGTGACAAAGCCAGGTCTTAAGACTCCCAGTCCTTATTTACCCCACTAAAGCAGACAATAGTCTTAGGAAAGTGCCAGTTGTTGGGAGGAACTAAACCAGTTCTTAGTTGCATAATTTTTTCTTCTAAAGATTTTTCTTTGGTGTTCTTCACTGAAAATAATCCAGCTTGCTGGTATTTAAAAAAAAAAATCAAGATCAAAATTAATAGATGGAACACCTTGAAGCATAATGCAGTTGACTTTGTAATTAGCAGAGTTGAAAGTGATGAGAAGATCCTTTAATTTTCTTTGTGCCTGCAGGAAGGTGGGAGTCAATCACTTTGACAAGTCTCCTGAAAGGAACAGCCAGAAGGAGCTGACACCTCTTTCCATTTGGTCTCGTGGCAAAGGCAGAGATTGCTCCAGCAGCTCCGCACAGTATGGAAGACATTTTAATTTTTGTTTTTTGAAACAGGGTCTCACTGTATAGCTCTGGCTGACCTGTAACATTCACCTGCTTTTACCTCCTGAGTGCTGGGATTAAAGGCATGTACCACTATACCAGCAACATTTATGTACTTCCCTCTCTCCTAATTTTTTTTTAAATTTCATTTCATTTAAAAAAATAATACAGTTGGTCACAGGCCTGGAATTCCAGCTTCTGTGGAGGCTGAGGCAGGAGGATTGTGCTACAGAGCAAATTAGGTACAGTCTGGGCATCTTAGTAAGACACTATCTGCAATTAAAACGTAAAAAATAGTCTGGAGATGTAATTCGGTGTAGAGAGCTGGAATTGCATGCATGAGGCTCCAGGTTCAGTCACCAGAACAACAAAGTAATAGGTGTTTTCTTTTTTAAAAGTGTAAACTCTGTGTCTAAACATTTTAAAGAAACATTTAAAACATTCTGCTTGTATATTGTAGTTATCCATGGCAGTACATATAAAGCTACGTTAATGTGCTTTTAAATAGTTGAAAGTTTTTGACACAAATGTCTCATGATGTTATTAAACATTTCTCTTAGAAGTAGACAATTTAGGTTGCCTCATGAATAATACTGCTTTGGAGATCCTTGTGTGTTTTTTGTGTACATTTGTAGTAGGTAGTTCTATATGATAAATTTCTAGAAGTGAGATTGCTAGGTCAGATATTGCCAAGTTACTCTTCACAAAATAGTATATTAATTTATGTTCCTAACTAGTAGTGAGTGCTTGTCTTTACAGCCTCACCAACTCTGATTATCATTCATCTTAATTTTTGTCATTATGTCCAGAAAAAAATGTATCTTATTCAAACATTTATTTCCATAATGCTGGTAAGGATAATATCTTAATTATTTCTCAAGTTACAAATCACAGTGCAGGCATGGGATTTGGGATACTAGGGTGCTTCTCTCTATTTATATAGTAGATTGGTTTAAGGTATTTCTTGTTCTTCAGCAAAACTTTCTCATATTTTTCCAGATATGACGTGCTCACTATTGCCCTCTGAACAGTCTTCTGGTACCTCTCTTTTGCCTAAAGACAATGCCTCATTTTCTTGGGGTTCCTTGGATGAAGATGAATTGGATGACTCCTTGTTGGAGTTTTCTGATGGGGAAGAAGATGATGGCCACTTCAGTTTCACAGAGGAAGAGATTGAGATGCTCTTGAAGGATGATGATGGTGGGCATGATGAGTATGGACAGAGAAAGTGTCAAATTCTACCTGTTACTCCTCAAGAAAATTCTTTGTACAGCTTGGGACCAGCAGCTGAGACCCCTGGCTTCTTCAAACTACCTCAACTAAGTACATCAGTTGGTCATGGACCAACTCCTAGTAAATCATTAAACAGACACTTTGTACTTGAAAAGAATCTTATAAAAGTAACTGTTGTTGCACCATTTAATCCAACAGTTTGTGATCCTGTGCTTGATAAGGACAAGATCGATTCCTCCAAAGAAAAACCTGCCTCCCTTGGGGAACAGCCGAGAGAAGATGATCTTCATCCTAGTGAGAATAAACGTTGCACTGAACTGGAAGGGGTCAGTCCCAGTAACTCTGCTTGGGATGGGCCCCTGCTTTCTTCTCCTTCAAACAATAACACCGAACAAACTGCCTCTGATAAAGATATACCTGAAAGTAAGAAACCTACTCCTGTGTTCTCTCAGATCTCCAACCATTCAGAGGTACCTAACAGGGGATCGTCCTGGAAAAATAGTGGATCACATAAATCAGGTTGTGAAATGAGGACTCCGGTTGTGTCCAGTTCATCAAACAGAGTAAGTACATTTTTTTTCAAGACACAGTAGAAATGAAATTATTTTCATTCAGAAAGAGTTCCTGTGTACTTAACTATGCAGTAGAGTGTATGACTAGCCTGTAATAGCTTCAATCCCTAATCCCAAAAAAGGAATGAAGCTTGCTAGGGCAGTAATGGTGCATGCTTTTAATCCCAGCACTCGGGAGGCAGAGGCAGGCAGATCTCTGTGAGTTCGAGGCCAGCCTGGTCTACAGAGTGAGTTCCAGGACAGCCAGGACTGTTTCACAGGGAAACCCTGTCTTGAAAAACAAAACAACAAAGAAATCATATTCTCAGCTATATAATACAGCTGAAGTTTATAAAAATTACTTATAACTAGTAATTATCTTTCCTACTGTATTCCTTCTTTCTGCTCTGGAAAACAACAACAAATCAGCATGCTTTTGACAAGGATTCTGGGGAGGTGAAAGGTGAGAGAAGACTAGGCAAAGTCATTCCTGTTCTCCAAACCAGAACCAGGTAATGTAACATAACCATTCTAGTTTCTGGTGGTTCTCTTTCATTTCTTTCTTCCCTTCCCAATATCTTAAAGTGTGTGTGGGGAGGAGGGGAGGGGCAGGAAATCCTGCAGGAAGAATAAGCAAACTTGAAATTCCTAAGCTACCTATTTGTGTTACCTTGAGCAACTCAAATAATCTCTCACTTGAGTTTCTATGTCAGTAAAATAAAGCTAATGATGCCTTCTCTACAGCCTCACAAGGTTATTTTGAAAGTAAAAAAGACATATTAGTAAAACACTATATAAGTACAAAATGTCTTCTATGTATGAGGAGGCCTGATCACATATTTGATAAGAAGTCAGAATGTTAACCAAAAAAGGTTAAAATTACTTAGAAAATCACTTAGTCTTACTTCTCTTTTCTTGCATACAATTGGGGACAAATATTAGTTAGGGATGCAGATTTGAGGCATCTTTTTAGTTTACTTTTTTGTTGCCAGGAGATGGCAGTATCTATCTGTACATGGGCATTTTCAATCAAATGTACTGGAAAAGCTACTTATAGGTTGAATCCAATTGCTTTACTTACAATAAGATTGAGAAAAGGTTTTATTTATTTTTATTATGTACTTATGGCATATTTATTCTGCTTTCAACATTTTAAAAGTGACAAGATTATTTGCCACTAAATTTTTGTTTTGTGGGTTCTATCTTATATCTTTTTTCACATAATTGAGGAAGATCTGTCAGTTTTTTCCTTTTTTTTTTTTTTTTGAGATTTTATCTTTATTTTTCGTATATATTGTTTCACCTGAGTAGGTTTGTATACTATATGTCTACAGTGCCCACAGAAGCCAGAAGAGGGTGTCAAATCCTCTGGAACTGGAGTTACAGTTGTGAGCTGCTGTGTGGTTAGTAATGGGAACTGAACCACAGGTCCTCTAGAAGAGCAGCCAGCATTGTTAACTGCTGAGCTGTCTCTCCAGCCCCACTTTGTGAATTTCTTAAGAGTGAAATTAAACCAAAACACACAAATCAGGCTACTTGGAATACTAATAATTTACATTGTCAATATTTTCATCCACTGACTCCATACAAAGCTATCAATATGAATGAGGACCAGAAATTGCTCTTGCCAAGATCATAATTGCCTTAATCTCATCCAACTTTTTCTACGTGGCTCAATGAAGTTGACTAAACTTGAATTACTCAATAAATGCTTCCTCTTTATGAGCTACTTCATTTTTACCTTCTGATAGTCTATGTTAATCAGGAATTACATTTCTTTTCTTCCTTTACTTCTAAACTCGGTACTTGATGTTGGTTTGTACTAACAACATTGCCTTCTCTGTCACTGGATTTTTTTTTGTTTTCTTTTTTTTTTTGGTTTTTCAAGACAGGGTTTCTCTGTGTAGTTTTGGTGCCTGTCCTGGATCTAGCTCTGTAGACCAGGCTGACCTTGAACTCACAGAGATCTGCCGCCTCTGCCTCCCAAGTGCTGGGATTAAAGGCATGCGCCACCACCGCCCAGCTTGTCACTGGATCTTAAGAGAGAATTTGCTTCTGAAAGTTCGTTGTTTTAACTTCCATCCATATGTGACTTTTCTCCAAAGCACTGTATTCATGGTTCTAATGGACTATTTTTCCTCCGTGTTTGCTTTCTTCAAGGATGTTTTCACAATCAGATCTAGAAAAACAGAAGGACATTTATATCAGCAAAGTCATTGCTCATATAGAAGACCCAGAGGACTCTAACCAAGGTAACATGGTGACCAAAGAGTGGCTTATGAAACATGGATTGAGGTTCCATGGTAATGAGCTTACACTGGGGTGTTGTTTTGAATTCTCTTAGATTGAAGAAGAAGAAAACTTCCTTATCCTAAGATTTACTTCAAAGGCTTTTTTAAGCAGATAATTGTGGAAAGTGGTTTGGCTAACAAGTATTAGAGAAGGGACTTAGGCCATTTGATTTTCTATCCTATAGTTAAGAGCTATAACCCAGATCTTAATTTTCTAAAAAAAACAACTAAAGATTGTCTTTTTTTTTTGTTTGTTTGTTTTTCGAGACAGTGTTTCTCTGTGTACCTTTGCACCTTTTCCTGGATCTCGCTCTGTAGACCAGGCTGACCTCGAACTCACAGAGATCCTCCTGGCTCTGCCTCTGGAATGCTGGGTTTAAAGGCGTGCACCACCAACGCCCAGCTGATTGTCATTATTTTTATTTTGTCTATTAATAGAAGTAAATGAAGTGATGTTCCTTACTAATCATTGTTTTGGGACTTTTAAAATGTGGAGTAATTTTCCTTGTTGCTTTTTACTTTTTAATGCAAAATGTAAGTATTTCAAGCTTCGTCCTGTGTCTTGGGCTTCTCAATACAAGATCTTGAAATGCTACACTATTGTTCTAGATCCTTCAAGCTAAATCTCTGAGTACTTCATTAGAAGTTGTTGTAAACCAAAGTGGAGAAATTCTTTCTCCACCTCTCAGGATACTGTACTGTTTTATTCAGTTTGATCTAGTAGCTGATGGTAAATTCCTAAAGAGAAAGGAGCCGAGTTGAAGGCATAGGATGTTAGGAGGTTTTATACTGATAAAAGAATTCTTCCGCCGAGTGGCATTGTCGCAGGCCTTTAATCCCAGCACTTGGGAGGCAAAGCCAGGGGGATCTCTGTGAGTTTGAGGCCAGCCTGGTCTACAGAGTGAGATCCAGGATAACCCTGTCTTTTTTTTTTTTAAAAAAAATCTTCCCATAAAGGTCACTTTGTCTTTTGAAATGTTTAGGTCTTTCCTTGTTCAGCAGACTTATGTGGAATACTTCTACAAGTGTTAAGTTTGAAAATTAGGAAAAGTAGCAGTGGGTCTTGCTTGGCCTACTGGGAATTCCTAGTCTAGAGAAAACCATTACACTAAAATAATAATTAGCTTTCTAAAGAAATACACTTAAAAGTCATGTAGAAATGAGGAGAGACCTCTTCAGTTTGGTATGGGGAGAATGGACATGATTGAGAAAGATGTCCTAGATGTATTCCATAGAAAAGGCATGAGCTACTGGACTCCAGATCTGTTCTGGGGGAGGTTTTGGGGATGTTCTGCAGAGAAGAATCTCCTTTCTCTTGAAAAGTCCTGGATTAGTTTCTGTTTTTAAGGCTAAAGATGAAAGGTAAAATGCTGACATCCATCAGGAGAAATTCTTAAAAATAAGTCCCTTTCTTTTTTTACTCAAGATTTTATAAGGCAATTAGATATCACTGGTGTTCATTTCTTAGCCCTCTGCTTGTGAAATCTTTTCGCTTGGACTGTTAGGTCTGTTGGAAGTAAAGATATTTTTCACACCCATATCATTGGAGGGCAGGCTTTAAAGAGATTTGTGCATCTTCAAGCTTGCTAAAAACAAAAAACCCTAGTTGTTATTTTTCTCCTTGTGAGATGACTTTTTTTTTTTTTTAATTTATTTTATTTTACAATACCATTCAGTTCTACATATCAGCCATGGGTTCCCCTATTCCCACCTCCTCCAGGGCAAATCCTCCCCCGAGGACTGCGATCAACCTGGTAGACTCAGTCCAGGCAAGTCCAGTCCCTTCCTCCCAAACTGAGCCAAGTGTCCCTGTATAAGCTCCAGGTTTCAAACAGCCAACTCATGCAATGAGCACAGGACTTGGTCCCACTGCCTAGTTGCCTCCCAAACTGATCAAGCCAATCAACTGTCACACCTATTCAGAGGGCCTGATCCAGCTGGGGGCCCCTCAGCCTTTGGTTCATAGTTCATGTGTTTCCATTCATTTGGCTATTTTTTTTTTCCAATAATTGAGTAAAACCGAAATTTATTATAAGCCACAGTTGTCCTAGGGACCTCCATCCTATATATATAGCCTCCATGGTTCTATGGGTTGTGGTCTGATTGTTCTTTATTTTATATCTAGAATCCACTTATGAGTGAGTACATACCATGACTGTCTTTCTGGGTTTGGGTTACCTCACTCAGGATGATTTTTTCTAGTTCCATTCATTTGCCTGCAAATTTCATGCTTTCATTGTTTTTCTCTGCTGAGTAGTACTCCATTGTGTATATGTACCACATTTTTTTTTTTCATCCATTCTTCCGTTGACGGGCATCTAGGTTGTTTCCAGGTTCTGGCTATAACAAATAGTGCTGCTATGAACATAGCTGAGCATGTATCTTTATGGTATGAATCAGCATTCCTTGGGTATATGCCCAAGAGTGGGATGGCTGGGTCTTGAGGTAGTTCGATTCCTAATTTTCTGAGAAACAGCCATACTGATTTCCACAGTGGTTGTACAAGTTTGCATTCCCACCAACATTGGAGGAGTGTTCCCTTTGCTCTACATCCTCTCCAACATTGACTGTCATTGGTGTTTTTGATCATAGCCATTCTGATAGGTGTAAGGTGGTATCTCAGAGTCGTTTTGATGCTGATGATTAAGGATGCTGAGCATTTCTTTAAATGTCTTTCAGCCATTTGTAGTTCTTGTTTTGTGAATTCTCTGTTTAGCTCTTTAGCCCATTTTTTAATTGGACTGTTCAGTATTTTGATGTCTAGTTTCTTGAGTTCTTTATATACTGTGGAGATCAATCCTCTGTCAGATGTGGGTTTGGTGGTGAGATGACTTTTATAGGCTAGGAGTTGGCACTGATATCTAGTTATATTTTCCTTTTTCATTGAGGTGTTCAATGACAATTTCCCATGCAAAGCAAGGTGCAATTGCTTGCACTTCAGCGTCTCTCCATCTGCTTTCTCATTCAGCAATTTCTCTCTCAAAATTACTACATTTTATATCCTATTTTTAAAGAATAGTTAGAAACACAGTGGGAAAGCAACAGACTTTAGTGGTTGAAAAAAAATAAGTCTAGAGTTAACTTCTAGGTTTATTTATTTTTTTAATTATATTTTATTTCTAATGCATGTGTGGAGAGCAACTTGTAGGAGTCTGTTTTCTCCACAGACTGAACTGTGGCACAGATACTGAACTTAGATCTTAGGCATAGCAGTGCCTGATGAGCCATCTCCCTGGCACAACTTCTAGGTTATATCCTGGCACTACTGTTGGTTAAATGGGACCTTGAGCCACTCAAAAGTTGTTTGCAAAGTGAGGATAATGTAGTTTAGCTTGTGTGAAACATAATTACCTGTGCAAATATAATGTATAAGGACAGTATTTAGCTCAAGCTAATACAATTTCAGCTAATAGAATTTATTTTAAATACAATTATTGACAAGAAAATTTGGGGCTGGTGTAATGGTTTAGTGGTTAAAAACACTTCCTGCTTTGGCAGAGGTCCCAGATTTGTTTCCCAGAGCCCACATGACAGTGCAAACTGTAATGTATAGAAAAAACAAAACAAAACTAACTCCAGTTCCAGGGAATCTGATGTCCTCTTCTGGCCCCTGCTAGGACTGAGCTTGTATTTGGTACACATACATGTGTTCAGGTAAACACTCATACACATACAATAAAACTAAAAAGTCTTTAAAAAAGAAAGTTCATCCTTTTTGTTTGTTTGTTTACTTTGGTTTTTCAAGACAGAGTTTCTCTGTTTAGCTTTGGAGCCTGTCCTGGAACTTGCTTTGTAGACCAGGCTGGCCTCGAACTCACAGAGATCCTCCTGCCTCTGTCTCCAAGTGCTGGGATTAAAGGCATGCACCACCACTGCCCAGCTATTTTTTATTTTTTTTCAGAGGTAGATCTTTCTATGTAGTCCTGGCTGTCCTGTAACTTAATATGTAGACCAGGTTGGTCTCAAACTCAGATCCTCTTGCCTCTATCTCCTAACTGCTGGGATTAAAGGTGTGTGCCACATGCCTGGGTCATGATAGAGTTTTTATAGGTAAGATTGTGTGATATATTTTAAGTCTCAACAGATGACATAAAATAAAAATTTTGTAAAATAAAATGAAATAGCTTTGAAAAATATTGATAAATGAAGCTGAGTTGATGGTAGACTGAGTCATTCAGGAGAACTGAAGAATGCCACTCAAGGATACAATGAAGCCTTGAAGGAGCAGGGGGACAGCCTCAAGAGATTGAACCCCAGCAACCTTTCAAGGCTTCACCCCCATCCTCGAGTGTCTCTCTTTCCTCAGTCATCCTGCATGACTCAGTTTACCAGCATTTGGTGCCCAGGACTGGAGGTAAGTACTCTCATGTTTAAGTGAGGACTCCAGGATTTTGGCAGGGACATGGGGAATTCCCTATCGCAGGAGTAGCAATATGTGCAGTTGTTAAAATGTTTACTACGAGGAAATGGAGCAAAAGTGAAAGAAAAAGAAATTACTGAGCTTTTTGTATTAATTAAATGACATTGTTACTGGTTTCAGGCAACTCCTCGTGTTGAACTTTGAGGCGAGCTCATCAGAGAGGGGAGTTTATACCATTAAAGATAGTCTTTATGTAATGTAATTCCCAATGCTCTGGAGCTGCTGCAGAATGAAGAGTCAGAAAAGGCTGGGTCAGATGTAGAAAATGCAAGTAGGAAGGAGGACATGCTGGCTAGCAGCTGTCAGTCATCAGAGGAGAATGTTTGCTTCTCCAGAGGAAGATGACAGTGAGGAGAGCCAGGATGAAGGAGAATCTCCTCCTCCTCATTCAGACAAGACAGACTCACACAAAGGGGAAGTTGAAGAATTGACTGCACAATTGCAAAAATTACAGATACAAATAGAATAGCTCCAGAGACAAAACAATAAAGGAAGAAAAAAGGTTTCTCCCAGTAGAAAAAAAGGGAAATGTTTAATAAAA